ATGTTCATTTCAGTTCTTTATTGTTCATCCCAGCCTCTTATGGGGCCAAACAAATACAAATTCAGACAAAGTCATAAAAAGGGCTAAAATAATAAGACAGTTCCTGGTAGTCAAGGCTGAATATGTAATTTCTGCTGAGTAAGGATGATCTTAAAAAATATCATCTAAAAGGCAGAATCACAGTGCTTTGTTGTTTTCACATCCACTCAAAAGCAGTTTGTGTGTGCTTTGAGTTTATTTCCTTTCATTCATCAACATATATGAGAGAGTACATAGGTTAGTTACATAATGGTTGTGACATTTAGGGTTCGTCTCTCCATTCTACACATCCATTTGATTCAATAAATTTACTTTTGATTGTGATTTTAGTAGGATTGTTTTCTGCTATTTGACTATGAATATTAATTATATGTAAAACATATTTAAAGATATATTTAGTTTGACTGTTGTTACTTCAATCTTTCTAAGGGCAAACTTGGGAAATAGCTACCATTTTCTCCCAAAGAAGCATAAAAATGTGAGTTTCTATTGTGGTTTTGTGGATTGCATAAGGCCCTCACTACTTTAATGCTACTCTAACGTAGCATTTAATTTTGACATCTTTGCCATAATGGCAGATAAGCTATCAGATGAAAGCCATATAGAGACCAATTTACTGAGTTTGGCAGCCTGTTGAGTGGTGATTAGCACTCAGAAGTGTATTCATTTTGGTTGAGCCTGACCCAAGTCCTCATTTGTGCTTAAACTTCAGCCAACTACTATAATGCATATCTAATATCAGTCCTAGCAGTTAGATGCATCTCTATGCCCCTTGTACCTTTATCAGTGTCCTCCTCTCCATCATCATCATCTTCATCTTCAGACGAGAGGATGTCAGACAACAAAGAAAAGAAGCCATAGACCCAGTCCGTGGTTTCCTCCACAGCATCGTGAACAAGTTTTAGAGGATCTGAGCCAATCTTGGAAATAGAGCTTGCTACAACAATTAAAAACAAAGAAAAGTTTTACAATCAATCCCGAAGAAACTAAGAAAAGCTGTTTTTCCTGATTTATTCTTTTGACACAATGAATATGCTGATTTCATGAATTTAAGTATCTCTTAGCTACAATTTGTTTTGCTCAGAAATAGAAACTACATTTTGTCATAGTGTGCATGTGTGTTCAATTAAAAAGAAAAATTATTGAGTACATCTGGTATCAAACATTATGGGGTTACCCTTGAGAATTTTACAGTCTGAGTAAGAGTTCAGCACAGGGAAAAATTAAGAATGAATTAAAGTAATGTATATTATGTTATCCAAATTGTAGTAACCCTGAATTACAGATGTTCTGGAGTAGAAGAAATCATTGTTGGTCTGTATTGTACTGGAAAGCATCATGGAGAAGATGGCTCTGTAAATTTTCAGACAAACCATAAGTTTCAAGTTGACTTAGGTAGCTGTGAATAATGCAAAACTGATAGGTCCATTTATTATAATTTGTGATACATCAGGAAAACTCTGGAATTGTCAAAGCGGTAATCATATCAAGTTCCAGCTAGATTCAATTGGTTTATCTTTGTTAGACATCCCAGCATCTGAAAATAAAGTATTTGAACTTCTAGTAACTTCGGTGGATAGAATTAGGAAAAACTGAAGTCTATAAATCTTCCCTTTCTTATATCCTAGGAGATATAAACTGTTCATGGAGTGAAAGATTAAAGAATAAAAATGCAAGCAAATAGATATAATAGGGATTTTCGACAGGTTATTCTCATTCTAGTTACATAAAAATTGCTCTGAAGTGATAAGAGTAGCCTTTAATACCTGATTGAAGAAGTTATCAACCTAGAAATATGGTCTAAGTGGCACCCGATTTTTCACCAGTCTGTAATTAAATTTTAGGTTTATGTTTTCCTTAATTTTAAAAACTATTTAAGCTTTTCGGGGATTCTTCTCCCTTTGATATCGTAAGAGACTACAATTATATCAACATATTATATTATTTAAAGGTTAAGTACTCCAGAATTAGGCTTTTACTCTGATTGAGATAGAAAGTCACTGGAAGGTCTAAGCAGAGGAATGAAGTGATTTGATTTATGTAATTTTATTTGCCGTGTTGAGGATTGAAAGAATGCCAGGTTGGAAACAGGGAGATGAGTAAGGAGCCAAATGAAATGATCCATGATCCAAGAGAAAGAGAATGGTGACTTCTATACAGGCGGTAATACTGTGTGTGGTGAGATGTGATCGGATTTTTTTTCAGATTTTGAATGTATTTGAAAGATAGAATTAATAGTATAGACTTAACAGTATGGCTGTTGGATGTGAGAGAAAGAGAAGGATGCCGAATAACTTCACGGTTTCTAGTGTGAGAAACTAGAAGGATAGAAATGTGCTTACCAAAATGGAGAGGACTGGAGAGAAACAGGGTTTGCTGGAGAGTGTATGTGCAGCTGAGTTTTACACTTGTCCAACTCGAGTTGTCTATTAGACCTCTATGTGGAGGTGTAGACATATGTAGAGATCAATATGATTCATGAAAAATGAAATCCTAGCTGAAGATGGAAACTTGGAGGTTCAATAGTGACTAGAAAGTATTCAAAGTCATGACACTGAATGTGATCACTAGAACGATGGACCCCAGAACATTCCAACATTTGAAGACAGACAGATAAGTCAGAGAGAGGAAGAGGACCAGCAGTGGAGTCTGAGAAGGAAAGATGAGAGACAGAGAGACACAGAGAGATTGAGAGGCAAGGGGAAAAAAGAGAGCATAATATACTAGCTACCAAGTCAAGAAAAATTATTTTAGTGCGGATAAAGTGATCAACTGGCAAATGCTGATAGGTCAAGACAGATGAAGACTGAGAATAGACCTTTAGATTTAATGATGAGGTTGTTACTGGCGACCTTCAAAGGTCAGTTTCAGTGAAATACATTCAAGACCAAATGGGAAGAATTTCAAGGCAGTAAGTATATTTGATCGTAAAGTAAATGAAAGAGATAAGGAAATAGTTGAAGAACTAGAATCGTAGTGGGTTTTCTATTGTTTATATTGTTCAAGTGGGAACAATATTACATTTTTATGCCAATGGATAAGATCCTACAGAGAGAGGAAAGTAAGATGAGAGGATTTCTGGGGAAATTTTTAATTTTACATTCTATTTAGGGGGATTCACAGCCCATCACAAGGATGCCAACGTACAAAATACTAGTCTCAGGTAAACCTACCTCCATAATTCAGTGACAGTGTAACATTACTCCTTGGAACTTATCACATTGCATTCTGGAGAGTTTCCTGTGAGCAAGATATGGTAATCTAAAAGGTGAGATTAAACCTTAGAGAAAGGAAATGAAATGGAATTTTGTAATTGCAATTGAGAATTTTAAAAGAATTATGTGTAAGAAATTGGATTGTACTGGCACCATTAAAGGCATTTTTAGCACTAGTATATTTTATATCTAATGGAAGAATATTGCAAATGGGATTTTTATGATATGAATAGATTGAGACCATTTGACCATTCCTCTTCTAAGTGTTCACTGAGGAACTTAACAATAAAATCCAACAAAATAGATATCAGTTTAATTATCTTTATGGTTAAATGTACTATATATACTCTGCAGACATGTATATTGCCTGGTTCTAAAATAGTCAATCCAGGCTATTTTCATGAAGAAAATGTGGCTGGCTTGAGACCAGCTTCTGCTTTTCAGCCATACGGACAACAACTTAAAAAACATATAAATATAGTTATGGATATAGATATATCATAAACAAGGTAGTAGTCCTCAAGTTAATTCTTACTCCCTCTCTCAGACATCACATTCAAACTATATCAATGGGAATAATATTATACAATGCAACTAAGCCTTTTATTGATGTCTTCTTTTTAAATTGTGCTTTCCTCGTGTTTCCATGAGTTAAATCGTATACACTACAGGGAGGATCATCATAAAAATGGTAGTAGCTAACATCTACAGGGTGTCTATTACCTGCCAGATACCATTCTAAGAACTTGTTGTGTATGGACTCATTTTTCCTTTCAAAAATCCAGTGAGGTAGGCACCTCTATTTTAAATATAAGAAAACTGAGACAGAGGAAATTTAAATAAGAGGGAATAAGGACTCTGCATAATAAGATAAAGCCTGGAGCAGCTATAGTGTCTTTTTTTCTTTTTCTTTTTTCTTCAGTTCTGGGTGTTTTTATTGCTTTATTCATTAATCTTTTGAAAAGAATTACCATTTTAAAAAATCAGGTATAATTGACACACAATAAAAACAACACAGATTTTAAGTGTTCAATTTGGTGAGTTTCAGCAATTGTAAACCCCCAGATTATCAAAACCCAAAACAAGATATAAAACATTTCCATCGCCCCGTAAAGTTGCCATGTGTCCGTGTGTCCCTTCCATTCAATAACCACCCACCCACTCCTCCTGCCATTACTGTTCTGGTTTCTATTACCACAATCATACCGTATTAATATTTTGTGTTATACCATCTTATAACCTTGAGGACAATCGCTGACTCACTGAGGAAGGCAAAGGCTAAAAATTAAAGAACTTTCTGAGGCACTGAATTATCCGATCTTTGAATAATCACCCTACTTCCGGAGCTTCTGCTGTATGAGATAAGAAGTGTTTCTTAATGTTCAAGTCACTCTTAATTGTCTCTTACGTATCTTACAGAAAAATATAGCACCGGATGCAGGGAAACTGCTTTAGGCCCCTTACGATCAGTAATTGGATTCTTGGCACTGATAAGAGTGCCAAGAGATGCAAGAGAGGCAAGCCAAAGTTTAAAGTTAAATAGGGTTTTTATTTGTCTTCTGTCTTTGAAGCCAAACTATATGGATACTTAATTTCTGAATGAGAACATACATAGGAAATTAAATTAGTCATTTTCTCTGCTTTCCTCTTAAAGAGTAAAGTACATGGTTTCACCATTATCTTTGACCATCAGTCTTACATA